ATATATAAGGGTTGATTCCATTCCAACAGTTTATAGGAGTCTCAATGATAAGGGAGATTTGATAGCAAAATATACGAAAGCGCTTTGCATCACGTGCCACGGTAACCAGAAAACCAGAACTGATTATCAGGTTACTGATAATCAGAACCACGTAGAAGCGTGCAAATTTCCAAGATAAAAAGATAAGATATGTTGGTTTGCCACAAGTCTTCCTGTTCATTGGTGAAACACACATACTTTTACCGTAGAACTAACCACTCTCCAGTCAAAACTCACCCGTTTTATTCTACAGCTTCGTGTTGGAGAACAATTAAAAATGTGACGGAAAGTGAAAGGACGTAAACATTGGCTGCCGTAAAACCGTTAGGCGGTATCGAAAACCACAGTACATCATGTGTCATCAACCGACATTCTAGGCAAGAATTGAAGCGTAACGGACGAATGAGTGCGTTGGTCTCCCTATGTAGCAACTCATGTTTTACAAATTTACGGACACCAACCAACTAGTTGCCGCTTTTGCTGACAGACCGATGCACATTTTTGCTTCCGATGTGATTGATTTGTCAGCACATAATCAATCAAGCAGGACAATTCACCAGCTGTAAACCATGTGCCATAGTTCCAGCTGTTACAAACTCGATCACCGGAGGTTGGAAGAACGTGGGAGCTACAGCCTACCACTGGAGGCGATGGTATGTTCGGTTAGCTCAAGAACTGGGCAGCTAAGAATTGAAGGCGATAGGCTTGATGTGCGAGCGCCAACAACTACGTGGCTGGGCCATTTCTGCAAGTGAGTTGGGGAGTTGAGTCCCCATCCAGAGAGGTAGCAGTTATCGACCTGACTCTGTTTACTGGTTAGTCTTTTCATATTTCGTTGCCAGGTCATGTACTGTCCACCTCTTGGTCGCTTCCACTCAGTTGGACGAGAAGAGCCCTGCTAACCAGACAGTCCCCTGGCATCTGGTGATTTTATGGCTTATATGTCCTGAGGCAGAAGCTCAACAAAAAGGAGGTTGTTTTCCGGAATTTGGTCCGGCTGCATAGTTTCCATTTAGATTACCATGTCCAAGTTACTATTCTTGATTGGGAAGTGGTCTTAGTAAATAGACAGCTGTATTCTGTCTTTTCTCAACAGGAAGTGAAGTATGTTGTCCTGGATATATGGGCATATATATGGGCATTCTTCTCTGAGTTTCAAATCCGGTCATTTTCCTTTTGAATCCAGTTAAACGCTTTTATGAAGGAAACTACCCACAAGGTTGCTGAAAACTGTTCGACAGCCCACGACCGGTTTCGCCCTTCTTGGGGCTCATCAGGTAGGCACAGTCCCCGAGTTTCCGTCAACCTTATGTTCTACTTGAACCCTTAGTCGTCCGTAGTTGTAGCAGTCACTACCTCGTTCCTTCAAACAACTTCGTGCTCACTAGATTGCGTGACTCTTTTGTTCTGCAAACGCGTGAATCACGTGACAAAGCCCTGTTCAGCTGGCAACCTAAACCAAAAAGACAGTTCCCGTCTTATACGCGTCGGAACGATTCTATATGGAGAATGGAAAAATGGACGAACGGACTGCAGAATGAAGGGACCAAAGAGAGAATTTCTAAATCTTTTGTCACTGTACGTAATTTTTGTGATTTACTCTTTGTTCATACTTAGCTTGAGGCGAAGGGGTCACCGAATTTCCGTGTGAATAACGGAAATTCAGTTCAACACCATCTGACCCATGTGTGCCAACGGGAAAACTAGGAGTTACAGCTCGTGGTGGTGTTGCATAGTAACCTAGCGCAGAGGACCCATGAGCAGCTACAACATTTTATGAAATTGGCCAAATTTCTTCCTTGTGAATCATACTAAACAGAAAAATACGTTTGTCCGAATCCCTTCCAAGTGCTTACTTAAGCGGCTCCAAAAGTAGTGTTGTGCATCAAAATGAAGCACAAAACATGAGGGTCAGCGCATCCGAATATACGCTCAAAAGGCCAAACTGACCGGTTGCTAAAATAACGAAAATCCCATCTCCAAAGTAAACAGAAGATATCGTGTTGTTGTGTATACACATGTTCATTGTGAGAGACGAAGTAGTCAGTTGCTGAAGAGCCGATTTAGGGTAGCCTTCAGAAGTTGCTACGAATCAGCAAGATCGAGAAGAAACTATCAGATTTGCTCCTCTTCCTCCTGATTGCTGCCTGGTTACCTCAGTTAGTGTGCACGAAAGTAGTTTACTCGTGTCCGCCCTGATCGATTTCACTAGCTGTAGTTCTCTGTTGGTGAGGTTTTAGACATTGGTAATCAATAGCTCGAGGAAATGCTGTAGTTAGTCACCCTGATATCACGTGTATTCGGAAATCTTTCATCCGCATTCTTACGTGCAGATAGGGATTTCACTACATTACTATAACAGATGATAAATTATGATAAAAAATTATTATCGTTCAGCTGTAACACCCTTTCGGTGCATGCCATGCAATCCAAAGGAAGCTGGCTGGGATACTGTCAGGTTACTCAACCCTGAACAGGAGAAGTCGAGAGGCAGGGGTCGGGTTCGAACCACAGAACTTCCGGTCAGTAAATTCGCGCTCTAACCACTTGGTCCATCTCGCCCCCTAACAGATGATAAGTATAGCGCAATGCATAAACGAAAGGTTCTCATCGGGTTCAGTGAACTCATCGGGTGAAAACCCAATTAGTGTATAGATGTGATTAATTAGCGAATTCCATCCAATTTGGGTTCAGTTAAACTAAAAGGATGATGAGAATTCAGGGACTCCACCGGAAAACACGCCAAGAATTGAAAAAATAAACAGTCGTGAGCTGTCGAAAAACGTTCAGCAACCCTATGAGTAGTGTAGACTTTCAAGTTAGTTTCTATAATCTTTAGCTGATGCCTCTTTGAAATCAAGTGTCTGCCTAACTTGCAATAATGAGAATAAATTCTTTCACAACTTGCACGCAGATCCGCACAGTGACGCTTGGCAGTCAGTCTACATCGGCATTTATCAAGAGGACCCAACATCATCTGGTTTTGAGACGAAAGGCCTTAGGCAGTAGATATACCAGATTTGAACGGTAGTGAGTTGGTAATTAACTACCAGGCTACCTTATTCACTAAGAAGAATTTGTCCTTGTTTCATATCTACTTATTCCTTCCATCAACTTGCAAACCAGGAGTTTCCTGAACATCCTATTAGCATGGATAATCATTACACTCTCAAGTCAGGTGAAGTAAACCTTTTAAAGGTCATTCACACATATTCTCGATCGATGCGCTCTGAAAACCCAAATAATCGAAGCTTGTCTGTTGCAATCAAATATGTACTTCCTCTACAGTGGACCCATTTTGCCGCAGGCGTATTAGTATAGTTAGTCACGTGTCGAAAAATCAAGGAACCAACTTTACTGAAGTAGGTCTTGTGGGAACTAGAGTGATCTCCTAGTAGATGCCGTCAAATCAAAGCTATTCAGACAAAGGTTTGGTTGTTAGGATTTATTCTATCTATCATGCAACACTTTGGATGAGAAAGACAGAATGGTCAATGACGATATTCATGAACATTTTTGAGATGCCACAAGTCACGTGCAAGTGACTGCTTTTCAGTTTGTGCCTAAGCAAATCTATTCCAAGCGTTTCGAAACATCATCATCATCATCGACAGCATGACATCAGTGTTCAACACCGATACGGACCAGTGCTTTGGATGCGGCCTGGATCTTAGAAAGCAATAATTCTATTCGGATACGCGAATGTCAAAAAACCTAAAGTAAGAGCGTTCAGCTGTAACAGCCTTTCGGTGCCTAGCTGCCATACCACCCAAAGGAAGCACGAGGGATGGAATACTGCCAAGTTGCCCAAGTCTAGACAAGGTAAGTTGAGAGGCAGAGGTTGGGTTCGAACCACGGACCTCCCGGTCAGTAAATTCGCGCTGTAAACACTTGAGCCACCGCACCCCTGGAAAAACTTTTGACCGACTCAGGAAGCAGAAAGGTTTTTTGAAAGCAAACTGCGCATCGCGGCCTTGACGGGCCATATATCACAAGCGGATACAAGTGTACATGCCCTAGATAATTGTCCATGCTTTATGGCAAACAGTAGTCTTACTGATCGAGTAAGTTCCTTATGATGCTGTGCTATTTACTGGCCCGACTGTTTTATCCCTTACTTCTGTCAGCCTTCCACGGTGGTTAGCCACGTAGGCGCATTTTTGTGGTTGGTTTGTAGCTGGTGCTATGAATAGGTGAATAATCACTTGTCGTTTAATATGTGTCTTGATCTAGTCGTTCCTCTGTCCAGGAGTTTGATTGACTCTGTGAATGTCATAAGTTAACTCAGTCGGTGATCAGTTTTTAAAACACTCTGCAATCTGGATGCATCATGGGTCCTACGTCACATTTCCACATCTGAATCTGCGTGTTCTTAGAAGTCAGAAAAAGACGAAGAAGTTCACTGTCACGTCAGAATCCCTGCCATTGTTTTTAAAGCTGCGGAGAAGTGAGATAGTGTTAACTTGGCTTTGACTTGTGATGCACACTAGGTTTCCCCCCGGAATTGTGGGACATACATGATTCAAATACTCCTAGAATTTTTATTTGCGCATGTTTGTCCCATTAGCTTATCCGTGTTGACCACTTAGATCATGTTTCACTTGTCTTACGAAAAAATCGATTTGAACTGGCTTTTGGTTGAATTAGCCAATCAGATTGATCGTTTGTCTTGGTGGGTATAATCAAGCCCAAAAGGAGAGGTGCCAAGCTGAAGGTGGGTGAACTGGCTTGCAATCGATCGTCAGATTAGAGTACATCATGCACCAACCAGCAGTCAATATTCTGTCAGTGTCCTGGATACTACCGCATTTAGTTGTCCCACTGTGCCACTTGAGCAAGTGCTTGTTTCACAGCCACTCCTGAATAATTTTGCTCTTGCCTTTATACTGATCTCCTAAAACCACATAAGTACTGTCAGTAAGCGGACTTACGATGTCACTAGTGTACCCACACTCCCCACTTTGTTTTTTTCAAAGCATACTGCCAGACAAGTTTTTTTCATTTTGACAGTGGAGTATATGAGAAAGAAAAGTTTTCCAGGTATGATACTTAGTAACATATCTTTCCTGTATGCATGTAAGAGCAAGATAGAATCAGCGCACAAGGCTAACCAAAGTTTTTTTTTCATTTTGTTGGAACCCATCTCACGACAGCGCTTCGAAAGGTGAAACATCGCGTCAAGATCGGAGATGTGTTTGTTGATGTCTTGAGTAAATCCAAGTAAGAGAATAGATCAAGGGTCTTATTTAGTTCCTGATTCCCTCAACTTTCGTTAGCTACGCCCCTCTACCCAAATGGAATCCTGTGATCCTATAGTTACACCCAGTCCTTGACCACTCAACTGATTCTTGTCTTACCTTGTGTGTGTGACTTATAGGTTTAAACGATATAACTTCAGCCATTGGTCCAGCAGGTGAGTCGGATGGATCCCAGGAGCAGATCCGTCATAACTCCGCCTACTAGTCGGCTGAGCGCGTGCCTATTCGGCCCCAACTCTGAGAGCCGCTGAATGCTAGGGTCACCTGATCAGCGTTGAAATAACGGTGATTGCCTAGTAACCTTCACTTTGAATGGAGTTACGGAACCCAATCATAAGTGAAACGAGGTAGAAAGATTGCCTGAAAACTTCAACTAATTTGCAACCTGTGTTTAGCGCTTCAACACCCTCAAGGAAGAGAAAGGTAACCGTTGCAGTCAGCTGGAAACACATTTGTACTGAACCCTTCTGCTCAGTGTTAGATTCGTTTGCCGTTTGACTTCCGGTAGGTTTCAAGACTCCAAAAAACTACACTTATAAACAGGCTTGTTTCCTAAGTTCAGTAGTGAGCTATAAACGCGTATACTTACGTAAACGGGTTCCATAACCTAATCCGAGAAAAAGAAAACCTGGATAAGATGAATAAGTAACCATTCACACTGCATTTTCATTAATTAGGTATACAACCGTAGTAAAATTTGACACACTTTTTACTGTAGAATGTTTGTTGCTGCTGGTCAGTGGTGGGGGAGAATTGATCACTGACGATTTGGGTTTTAGCATTCTATAAAAAACAACATTTAGGCTCATGTAGTTAATCTTACGCTTGGAATAATACCAAATATTTGGTTAATCAATCGAACTTCAATGAATTTCACTAGAAATCTGACTAACTTTTCTGAAAATGACAACCATCAATATAAAACTCACAAATGAGCCTACAGTCATCAGTATTCAAGCTAACCAAGTTATACAGTAGATTTTTCCTTCAATTTGAATTTTCGTATGTTTCAGTACCCCTGTTTTGACCAATCAGAATTAGAATGAAGTAGGACCCTGTGTTCGTTCCGCGTTTTTCACCACATTAGCTGGGTTCTAACATCCGCTAGCGGTATTACTCGCTGAATCTGTCTCGAAAGGCAGACGTGTCTTAAAAGGATGTCACACCCATAAAACTCATTTGATGGCTGCTGCTCTTTTCAGCTTCGAAGATGAATAATTTAATACGTCGAAAATTCATGCCGCGATGGTTCACACTGGAAATAATATCTGAGTATTTGGTTGTAAATAAATGGACCATATTCAACTCAAATTTTATGATTCACAAGTTTCAATTCGTACGCCCACCGACTAGGGGATGTGAACCATATTTGTTGTTGTTTTTCTAAGCACACCTTGACTTGCTCAGGGAAGGTGCAAAACACGTGCCAAAGCATGGGGTAACCCCCGATTTTCCGGCTAAACTATTTTGCTCGGAAAGTAATCACCAAACTACAGACCCAGATGGCTTAATATCTCTCAAGACGTGATTTTAATACCTAAATCAATACTTCCTTGGAATGTGCCTTCCATGACGTCATTGACAAAGCTGAACAGAAAAGGATGGAAAAGGCAGCCCAGACAAATAGTGTGAAGTCCAAATAGTGTACGGTATGGTAACTCAGACCTAAACTTGGAACTGTTTGTATTTCCTAAAAATCCGCCGCGAAGGCCTTCTTCCTTTCGGTGGTAGCGCACAGGGTTTCCCTTATCTGGAGGGAGTACTTCAAACTATCCTATCCACTCACAAACCCGTCGTATATGTTTATCCGATCCTCAAACTATCTGGTAACCGCTCAGTTAAAAAAAGCGATCTGTCTACTCGCGAGTAGACGGATTGTCTAAATAGCCAACATCTGATTGGCACAAGAGTCACGTGTGGTGGGAAACGGGTACACTGAATAAAGTAAAAAACGCCGTTAACACTTTCCGGCAATATCTAAACCGGTTCCAAGACGAATGTGGCTGGAGTACAGCACAAAACGTAGCCAAGTATGCTGAGGACAGAATTCATACGAAAACCTGATGAAAACGAACGCAAGCAGGTCAAATTGCGACATGTGACAGTTCTCGAGGAATTAGCCCGCCGGATGATGGCCAGGATTCTGGAGTCACTAGTCACTAGCCACAGTGAGGAAGTTACTGTCTACGTGACCACCAGCGACCAAAGACACCCCACTCCACAGTGTTACCTGGTACATAAGCTGTGAACCAATGAATCAGAACCAAAAAACAGGTGAGAGGTTTGTAATGTATACTCGGTTAACTAATATGTACTGATTTTATCACGCTCTACTAACGTCCTCCAAATGTACAATTTAATAAATGTTTTCTCAGTTATCATCGATAGCGAATCGAATATGCTCAGGGGATACAATTAATAGGGGAATTAATGGGGACAGCATGAGCGGATTAGATACTAGCTCTCACCTTGAGGCATCTGAGAGCCTGGGGTGTAGCCCTCACCGACAGGGTAGGGTGGTGGAGGTGGTGAAAAGTCCCCAAGGTTTCCTATGCACCACGAAGAAATAACAAAATCAGGAAGAAATCGTCACCTTTGTTACTCATCTTGCTAAATTCCAAAAGGGCCTGTTGGCTGGTCACCAGGTCACTTCGATCACTGTGTGCAGAACTACTTTACTAGCGTCCACCATTGTCAATTCATTAGCATTTTTTATCGATCAAAGTTTTTGAAGGTCATTTGGGGCTGACACCCAATGAGAGACGGAAGCAGCCTACAATCGCATTCTATTGGTACTCACAGGTATGCCATTTTTACGTTCGTTTGGATTGTGGGCTGACAGTTATTGTTGCTTCCGTTCACCGATAAAAAGTTGTTCGTTCGTTTTTGTTGACTGATTAACTACGATTTGCAAAGTATCCAGGTCTAGTGGTTTACCTGAATGCACGATAAATGTGTCACCGAATGAAGTCCACCAACATGCGTTAGAAGGGTTTGACAGCCACCAGATGTAACCAACCTACGTAGAATAAAGTGACGTTGTTGAAAAGCTAGTGACCATTTGGGTGTGGAGACATGGACATAGTCAATGTTTGCGGAACATTAGTTTGGAAGAAGTGAAACTCCAACATGAAACCCAGCTGTACCGTTGAACGTTACACCGGTCTCAGGCATCTGGAGCACACTATGAAATGATTCGAGAAACCGAAAGAATATTTTCAGTCATGATACAAACGTACTGACTGCTGACATGATCGCTGCTTTTCAGCACTCTTTTGGGACAGCCAGACTGACGAGTGATCCAAAAACAGATGAGGCTTATACGCTTAAAAACTACTTTTCAATATCCAGTAGAATATCTTGCCGACAAGCATGCCTTGTGAGTTTGGACGCAGTGAGAATTAGATACACCGGTGGGTTCGCAAAACGATGCTCCAACTGTGCACGTTCAAATGAGCGACAAAAGTTCCTCCGAATAGGATGGAACCAAGTTGCACTGTAAGTTTCAGTGACTCATAGGAGTTCGGCCAAATGCGTTCGTAAGCTGCACAATACATTAATTATAAAGGAGACTACTCCCAAGGCTGCTGAAAACTCACCGACAGCCCACGACCGGTTTCGCCCTTCTTGGGGCTCATCAGGTAGGCACAGTCCCCGAGTTTCCGTCGACCTTATGTTCTACTTGAACCCACTCATTTGCAAACCAATTTGGTTTTTACGCCCCAAGAAGGGCGAAACCGGTCGTGAGCTGTTGAAGAATTTTCAGCAACTTTGTGAGTAGTTTTCTTTATGAAAATATAATGCGATATCTCGAAAATCGTGCCAAGTGGATCAAGAGGCGGCCTGGTGCAACACATTTAGTTGTACAATATCATAAACGAGAGATTCAGTTGAGTCTCTCTTTAAAAGCCAACTTGATTTGCAAATGAGTGTATTTCTCGAATACATGAATTATCTTATTTTGCTTGAGGGGTAGCACCCCTTGTGTCATACACAGAGTGTGTAGCTTACATTTTGCACCTATCGAAATGAAAAATTATCTCACAAGGGCTGTGTTGACAAGAAGACGTCCCATTTTGAATTTAAAGTTAGGAATTCAGTTTTTTCTGGACAAGTTCGTAGTATAAATAACAGGAAGACGGGAATTTGGGGATACTGTTAAGCACAAAAGAGGTCCATTCGTGTCGATATTGACAGTGAAGCATGAGACTTTGGAATCGACAGGCTGACTACATTGAGAATAACGAATAAATTAGTCAGGGTGTGAAACCTTCGGCAGCGGTAAGATCCATTAACATCACGATCTAATCGATTTGCTAACACATTACTTGTTTTTATCGAGTGAACAATGTTTCGTGTTGTCGAGATATCCTTAGGGAATATCAATCTTGACGTTGTGTGCAAAAAGTCTTCGGTATTTCAAAACACGAAGGGTTTTCATGCTTTACAAAAAGTGATGGTCAGCGGCAGACAATGTTCTGAGAGCGTTAGACGGTAGCTAGCTAAAAAGAAACTTGAGTAGCATCTGAGAAGCATTTGTCTGCGTGAACCAACAGATGCACAGGTTGACTGTGTGACTATAAAAGACTGGCTCCGTCGTTACAAGCCATGCCGATGGAATCAGAGTGGATTAGATACTACTAGTTTACCCAGGCCCAAACAGGAGCAGCAGAGATACCGGGGTTGGGTTCGATTCAAGGACCTTCCGGTCATTTGCGAGTACAATTTAGTTGTTAGGCGAGGCTCTCTTTCTTCCAGTCATGATGTAATAACAAATGCATAAACATGACATTAAACACACCTAACTTCAAATCCTCTTGGTATCCAAGTGAGAGTGATCATCAAGAGGAGCGGACTCTGTAGTGTGCCGTCGAGGTGTTTTGAGTGTTGACTCGAGAAGCGTACTTTGATACCTGTGTAGCACATCCAGTCAAAAAAGCAGTTGTAAACAAAGGATTCAACTGAAGTTCAAGTGAGACTCCGATCAGCATAAAGTTAATTTGCGAACAAATATACGGCTCCACTAAGGTACAATTCGGTACTTAAGTAGACGAAACTTCGGGGGCTGGGCCCACCTAATAAACTTCAAGTATGGCTCAATAAAACCGGAAATGGGCCGTCAAACTATCGTCAGCACACCAACAAATAGTGGTTTTTCGATATTACCCTGGCGGATAAAGTTGATATCAATGATGATAGAGTTTTAACCAGGTCACTGAACGCACTGTGCTGGTTAAATTCACACACACTCCAGATAGCTTACGGTGGCAACGACGAATATTAATCATGGAGGTTAACGCTGGTGATGAATGAAGACGCCTTCCATTAAAGATAGAGAATTTAGTTGCCTTGCAGTTTCTCTGAAGACCGCTTGTATTCGGAAAGCAACGGTCAGGATCGTCTAGCATGAGTACATTTCCAGTGCGCAATTCGAGGATTCCACACCACGAGTAGTCTGTTGGCATTGTTTTTCAGTGCATGAAACCTTAGTGTAAACAGTTCAACTGTAGCACTCTTCCGGTGCCCAACTGCCATGCTAATCGAAAGAAGCACGAGGGCTGGGATACTGCCAGGTTGCCCAAGCCTAGACAAGGGAAGTCGAGAGGTAGAGGTCGGATTCGAACCACAGACCTTCCGGTCAGTAAATTCGCACTCTAACCACTGAGTATTCTCGCCCTAATTACTGAATACCTTTTGTGCATACTTTAGTGTTCGCGTTTCTCGTTCGGTTTGTCCTCTGTCGTGAACACCGAATTGATTTGTAAATGAGTGTATTTCTCGAAAACATTCAAATTTGGGTTCAACTAGATCATAAGGTTGACGGAAACTCGGGGACTGCGCCTACCTGATGAGCCCGAACAAGGGCGAAACCGGTCGTGGGCTGTCGAAGAGTTTTCAGCAACCTTGTGAGTAGTTTCTGTTCATCCTGTTTTCATAGTGTTCACTCTCAGTTCTTCTGTTCTTCTTAATTATGAGGTTTTTTCTTGCAAGACAAGGTCCGCAAGCAAATAAAAGATCAAAATAACTTAAAATGCATCACTTTTACTGCAAACCATCAGTGATGAGCATTCCATCGGTTTCTAGAGGTATAAAAAGAAACGCTCGTTTGTAACTGGCCGGCCATCAGATTGATTAACCTGCCTCATGGAAAATGCTATTCATCAAATAATTTCTGGCGCGTAACCTGCACAAAGACAGAGCAAAGCGCGAGCTACAACAAATTTTGTAGCCACTATAACGTATTCTGTCGTTGGATGGCCTTTCTAGCAACGACTTTTTGCGAAGCCATAAAGGTTTATTGGATAACCGCCCCCAAAGGGAGTATCTTGAACTAACCATATTTTTTGTCTGTACATCCTGTGGGGAATCTGTTCTCTTATATGAATGTTTTAGCTTTTTTGCCTCAAATAATTATGTGATATTTTCTGGGACTATGTTGAAATTTGAATTTGTTTAGTATCTACCTGCGTTTGGGCTGTTCTGTTTAGATGCCAGCTTGATGTTCTGGTGCCTTTGTTTGTTTGAGAAATATGTTCAACCGTTCAATTTGGTTTTGATTTTTTGTAGACAGGGCCTTCATTTTTCCATGACTTGGCTCTCAAGTTTTATACACGACTGTACGCTTGTCTGGCCCCAGCCCTCTTTACCGTCTGAGATGAGTATTGTGGTGTTTTGTACCTTTATTTTGCTTTCATTATAATACTACATATTTCGACTATTGCATACTCGTCTTTTGTTCGATTACGAAAAACTACAAAAACGCGCACTTGTACAAAGATTCACGCAGTACAAAGGTAGTCACGTGCTTCGATTCTCTCTTCTGATTTTGCTCGCGCTTGCAGCGGTCATTCGCGAGTCTCATGTGCTAACTCTGGTATCAAAACATTTCAGACCATCTTCGGAATCCATTATCTGTGGGAACTATTCAGAAGAAGACCCCTGGAACACCCTTATTGGCTTATTGTTTATTTGCTGACCTGGGCCAACGACGAACTATTTTAAAGAGAACAATTATTAGTGAATCTGTTTCATTTGACCTCTTTATAATTGTTTAGCTAATCTAGCGTTACTATTTTTATTTCTTTGCCACACATCGCTGGTAAACTAACTTATTGGGTAGCCAGACCACTACAGTATCCACTGCAAACAGAACTGTGATGTGCAGAGAATAGAGGCACTTGATAATAATAGAAAAATAAAAGTATTAAAACTTGAGAACGAAAAGCCAGTAGATCGTGCATCGCTGTGCAAGTTATCACTACAGGTGAGACGCAACTCAGCACAAGCATCGGAAGTCGGCTGAGTGTCCGCAACACGTCGTCGTAAGAGAGGTAATTTTTCGGCAGAGTACAGGGAAGAAAGTAGCATTGGGAAGTGGTACTTAGCCACACGTTGCTCAACTTTTGTGCATTTCCACCAGCAGGCTAAATTTGTACAGCGCATTCACCAAAACGTCTGACTGGAGAAGACAAGGCAAGGAATTCTCAGAAAAAATCCTTTGAAATAGGTACTGAAACATACAGGAGACAAGCATCATACAGGAAAGTTAAAGAGGTTGAGATCTTTCGGAAAGGTTTAGGAAACAGTCTGTGGCGTTTTTTGAACGTAGGTACGTTCAGTCAGTTGTAAAACGCTTGAAACCGATTGAGAAGTCATCGTTTTAAGTT